TGCTAAGGCACCTTTCTTTAGCAGTTATACTATTTGTATGTGCATGAATTCATTCAGCAAACATCTTTTGCACTTAGCAAAAATGAAATGTAAGAATCATTAGAACGTGGGTGAAAGGGTATTTTTTAGAAGAGACAGCAAATTCAGTAGAACAGTTGTTCTAGCACTTATTAAAACTTTTCAAAATGGTAATTTATCTCGTGTCTCTAATTACTGAGCCTCACTTCTGGTATCCTGACAGATAAACCTGTTTGAAATTCTCGAAGGGGCTGCAGAGAAGTGACGTAGCCAACCCCCAGCACCTTCTGCCACATCTCTGCCAACGTTCAGCTCGAGGCACTCTGACCCCCCAGCTGATTATCTGTGCCTTGACAATGCTGTCTACAAAAAATGCCAGAAAATTAGCACTTCTGAATGCCTGCTCTGCATTCTTCAAGTACATTATTAGAATTCTTTTGTCAAGAGAAGCATCCTACATCACTGTATTCATAATAAATGCTCTTTGATTTGTATGACTTTGTGTTTGTAATAGACCCAAACAAAGATCTCATTTGTTCTGCTGGCAAAAGCTAATCTGTACAAGGATTTTTTTTTTTATTATTATTTTCTGCAGAAACTGCCTTTCTGAGCCTAGAGATTGGGTTAGCTAAAAGCTTCACATTCATTATCTTTAAGGTACCATGTTAATGAAAGGATTTTAATCATTGACATTGCTATGTGAATTATTATTACACAAACCCCTGCTGTTGAGTAAGACAAAATTAACCCAGTGTAAGGGGCATTAAAAAAAATCACAGCTAATTAGTAAGCTAACAGGAACAAAGAGAATGTATAACGAAGATGTTGAGAGGAAGACACGTAAAATCTGTAGCTTCCATTCCAACATTGATCTTTCTGCATAGAAATCTTTTTTTCTGTCTGATTTGTTCCATTAGTCTTGAGCATTTTTATGTTTTGCAATTAGTTTTTTAAGCCACAATGCCTCACTTCTCTCAAACTGTGGAAATCCAAAGGCTCATAATAGAAAATGGAAGATATTTAAAAATGCTTTTAAATTATTTCCCCAGCGATCTCTATGAGAAACATAAAGTAATTCTCTGGATTATTCTAGGAAATTATTTCCATATTCTCTGCTGTTCTCCATGAACTGCAGAATACTTTAACTAATCTAGCCAGGTTCCACTGGAATAAGCCCTTCATTTTAATGGACTGGTACTATTGTCCAGGTTGCAATTCCATATGGAGCAGATAAATGAAGCTATAGGTTTAAATCACTGCATGGCTTCCCTTCCACACTTCCAGTCATGCTGGTTTCCAATGGGCATCACATCATTGTGCTGATGTAAGAGCCAAGGATGAGACAATCAAACCACAGAGAAGTATTCATGCTGGGTGCCATTTGCTTATAATTGCTCTTTGTAAGTTATAGTTTCAGATAAAGCTCCCAAAATGGAATGAAGAGAAAATAATAATTAAGTCTGTTTCTCTTTTTGAGCCTGACAAAGGCTTTAAAAAATTTTTTTAACATGTTTGTCCTTCTGTTCACTATTCCACACATCCCCCCTTCCCTCCTTTGTTCATCAGCCTTTTCAGCCTGATAATTAACACTCAAAATATTTGCTGCAGTTGTTTTTTTTCTGAGACATCATTTGGTTTGTGTTGTAAATGTAGAACAACAATCATCTAGTTCTCTTGTGTGCCAGTAATTTAGTATTTCAATAATCTCCAATTGTTGAAAGGTTTAAAACAAATCAACATTTCCAGCAATTTCCTTTTCTTTGTAGGGAAAAAATATGTGAACATAACATTTATGGCATATACTCTTCTGTTTTCCCTTTTTTCCTCCTTTTTTTATTTTGTGATCTTTATGAGGGAATTAAAACACAGGGCAACTGCTTAGCATAAAACAGAAGACTCACTTCAATAAAAACCTAACATTCTTGCACAGGGGCAGTTTTTACCACCAGTATCATTGCTTCAGCTCAGCTAGTGCTGAATAATTCCATTAATTCTTTCTCAAAATCCAGGTAAAATAAAAGAAACATAGTATCCAATATATTCTGCAAGGGGTAGTACATTTCTTTATGCAGAATTTTTCAGTGTTTTAAAAAATATTGGCTAACTGTGTAAAAAACCCTCTAAGTCCAAACCATGTTAGGTCTGAGACATGCACAGTGGGTCCAAGAAGGGTAATGACAAAACTGGGAACTCGATGTTGAGCACCCCAGAACAAATTTCAAAGAGCAATGAAATTTATTTTATTTCCACAATCCCCGGGCAATGTTCCTCCCCATGGACTATCAGATCTTTAGGGACCTGTCTGAGTCACTGTTTTGTGAGATCTGTGGATGTTAGTCAGGCCAGTTGTCGAAAATGGATTTAGATGTTCAGCTTATACAGCACTGAAACTATTTGTGTGACAGGCCTAGAGGCAAGAAAATCAGTGATAACTCACAGAACAGAACCTGCCCCACAGTCCTCACTCCCAGTGTATTCTTTTTCATTTAACACTGATACACCAGGGAAACAGTAAAGGTTTTCCTACATTACAAGTTTCCCTATAACACATCTTTCAGAGCACAGAAAGGCGACACGGAAACTGTTCCTAAAACTGTATGAAAATCCACAAATGATTCAGCTGAAAAACCAGGAAGGACATTCAAGTTGCAGACAGGAGAGAGACCAGACTTCTCTGGCTGCTTTAGGACTGGACCAGGTTCATTAGCCCAGTTGAGCAATGAGTGGCAGTCACAGCAGACAGAATTCAGGTTCCTGTGCTGTGGCCCTGCCCCAGTGTGGCAGCTGGAAACGAGTCCTGGAAAGAGGAACCTTCCAGGGAGTGCAGATAACAAAGATAACAAAGCTCCTCAGGAACATCTGCTCTCCCTGCAGTCAGTGTTCCTACCATGCCATCCACTCCTCAGTTAAATTACAGCCTCTCTCCTTGCAAAGCAGTGCTGTACAGATGTGGACAAAACTCCTTGGATAACCACAAATGATTCACAAGCTTCCTTCCAGCTTTTAAACAATCCTGGCGAGCACTTCCTACACCTTTTTCCCAGCCACCAAAGTGGTTCCCTTTCCCTCCCTGTGCCAAATCAATCAGCTCAATACTGACCTGGTGTGAACCCTGCAATGTGGAAAACAATAGAGAGTTTTAGCTGTAACAACCCCTACTTATATATCACCCATATGCTGCATTTGACTGAGCCTGAATTGAAAATAAAGACATTCATGAAAGGAAAGGAGCTGAATTAATTTTTCTGAAGTCCACAGCAAATCTCTGTTGTCTGTTGAATGTCATGTTTTTACTTAAGGTAGATGCTATGTATTTATGAAAATGAGATACAAGTCTATCTATCTATATGTGTATGGCTTCACATACAGGGGTGTGTGTGCATTTGCCTGTAAGAATTGCATAGGAAAGCTGATTAGAAAAATAAGACTCTCAACCCTGACCCATTTGTGCTTTTCAGGTTCATATGGTACATGACTATTTTGTCCTGATGTCAGTGAAAACTGTATGTGAGCAATTATTCCATGATATAAAATAGAAATTTGTGACTTTTAGTAGAGAGGTTTCCTCTCTTTTGGATAAATATTATTCAAGCTAGCCATTAAAATCCAAAAACATAGAGAACCTGACAATACACTTTTTTGAAGAACTATTTCATATTGTTAAACATGTTTCTAGCTCTGTTTCTTCACAGCACTTATGTATATGCTTCCATATTAGCATGCATTCAAGTTTGTTACTGGACAGGGTTGAAAATCTACTTCTTTCAATTTTTTTTAAGACACTTTCTTCCTATTTTAATGTTAAAAACAAAAAAGAATTTTACACCACTTCTTTATGCCTTATACAAATGATTTCCAGAAGTTTTTGAATTTTCATCTTTGTTCTGCTGCACTCCAAAGCAGTTATCAGACCCCATTGTGAACACTTGGGAAAAACACAGCCTGGCTGACAAATTAGTAGTGTTTGGTGCTAATATTACTAATTCAGCATTCGAAAAGGCTGCTCACTGGGGAAAAATGACATGTTCTCTAAGTCACAGGAGAAACTAGGGAGATAGTTACTGGGTGTTGGCTGTGCTGCACAGATTGTGCACGAGGCTGTTCCCACTGCAGCTCACTGACTGCCAGCAGACTGGCAGCAATTGTCAGCGAGATTTATTGTTACTTCACATTTACACAGTTAGAGAGGAAAGGCTGAAAGAGTTTTGTGAAGTTCAGTCCACAGCAACACACACTGATTACCACTAATGCACGTCTCTGAAATAATTTGGCATCTTTGGAGATCTTAAAAGTCATTTTCTTGAAAGAGCAAAATCCCCACAACCCTTAGTAAATTTTTTTTTCCTGAGATCAATACCTCAGCCCTGACTTCAGTTCTAGCTCACAAACTGATTTTCCAGTTTACAACTGGTCTTGGAAACCTCAAACTTTCTCAACAAAAGAATTAGAGCACACAAGGTAATTAAAAAGTAAGCATTAGAGAGAAGCAGATGTTTTTTACTTAAAATTCCTGGTTGTAAGGAGGGGGTGGGGGAGTGGGGAGGGGGCAGCGTGTCATCTTTGCACACTTGAGAGTTCAGCTCACTAATACGAAAGACCACAACAAACTTGTTACATAAACGTAGAAATTCCAGAGGCATGAATTTCAATGAATGCTTCCATTTCAGTTTCTGTTCCTATGGTTTATGCTTCTAAAGAATGTTTTTAACCTAGCTTCAGTAAGGCAAAACGGTCTGATTTACATATATTTAATATACATATATATTGTAACTTTAAAGGATGGATTTACTTACCAAATACAAATTTAATCAGAAATGAAGATTCAGTATCTCAGATTTTTGTGTCTATCCAGACAGAGCAAAAGGTTTGTGTACTTTGAACTACGAAAGTATTTTGAAAGCTCTTAGGATTGTCTTTCCTGGATCTCTGGTGTGTTTATTTCTTTGTTTCAGAGGGAAATCAACCGAGGTGAATTTGATTACCTTTTTGCTGCAGAGGACCCCTCTAGGTCTGGCATCTTCTTAACTAATAACTTGAGACTATGAAACATGAGACAGACTGACAGGAACCAGCCAATTGGGTTCCTTCAAACACAGATTTCTGCAGAGACACTCAGACATGGAAGGGAGAGGGTGGCTACAACTGGCAGACTCCCCCAGTGCTCCTGGATGTTGCTGCAGTCTGGGAAAGCAAACAGCAAAGGTATTTAGGGCTACACAAACATGGGCTAGCCAAGCAGCTGAGAAAAGTCTCTGAGTTCATTTGTTTCTCTGCCAAAGAGGGTCCAGCTTATTGTAAACCAGGAAAATAAAAAATTATCTCTTGTCATCCAATTTCAGGTGGCATTTCCAGCACTGCTGGAGCTGTTCAGAGAATTATCTTGGTAGTGAAGGACATCTGGATAATATGCAGCACAAGAGTGTCAGGACACGTAGAAAATAGGATGGGAAATATTTATGGCAATCCTGTGTTGGAGTTACTCTAAAGTGTCCTAACAAGTATTAGAAAAACTGTCATTTCAGATAAGCAACCAGCTTATCTAAACATTATTTACAGGGTAATCACATATTTTTACAGGAAGGGAACTGAAATTGTAATGCCAATTTAAAAAATAAAAAATTCACTACCAAGAAGAAAATCAAAACAGTTTGAAACAGTCTTGTGATAATTAGGCAAACACTGCTACAAGATACAATAGAGAAAGAGTCTGTACAGATCCTTGTGAAAATAATGAATTGCAACTTTGGTGCTGAATGTTCCAGACAATTAGATTTGGCTTAAAGGTGAAAGCATTTTATATCTATGTCTCAATCTTTCTCTCTCTCGCTTGCTCTTTCTCTCTCTGTTTTAGGATTTCCCCTGTTTTCCAAAATATCTACTATTTCACATGGCAGAAAAATGTACATGAGGATAGTGCATTTGAAATTACACATTATTTGTACAAATGTCATCTGCGTGTGGGAAATAAAACTGTTCTCCTTACATAGACTGTGAGTTCCACGTTTCCAGCCCTGACCACACGGGCACACACCCCCAGGAACTGCCTCTGCCCCTCTGCCCACACTGCCTGGCTGCAGCCACTGAGCACCTCCACACCCACAGGCAAATCCAGGCCCTTGCAGTCACCCAGCTCCCAGAATTAGCAGAAGTGTAAATAATGTGAGGTGCTGAGAAATCCCTGATGGCTGTTGTGCATCTGCCTGAGCCAGAATAAGAGCACTCAGAGCTGTGGGAGAATCAGAAGGTGTCACAAGGAGAAAGCAGAGTATTAACAAGGGTAATTTTTGAGAAAATGAGGCCAGAGGGCAGGGTAGGTGCTGCACTGCTTTCTGTCCAAAAGAGAGCCCTTCATTCTACAGCTCAGTTGTACATATGAAATAAATGAAAACTGCCTGCAGAAAGATATGGCAAGTGGAGAAGTTCAAACTTAGTGATTTTGGATGGCAGAAATTTATGTCAATTCCTTTCTTCTGCAGATTAAAAACCCCAATGTTCCACCAGGTTAGCCTGAACAGTCCTGCAGACTGACAGCAGGACTGAAGTTCTACCTTGTTTTGTCCTCATCCAGGTAAAACACGAGATACTATTTCGGTCAAAGTTTTCTCTGTCAAAGTTAAAATCCTGACTTCTTTCAAGGCTCACATCACTTGTACCTCGACTGTATTTAAGTGTTCTTGTTCAAATGGGAAAAAAAAATTAATTTTGGAAGAAAACATCTAGGGAGTCAAATCCCATCTCCTTGAACATTACTGTGAGCTAATGGGTAGAAACATAAAAATAGTCTGAAAAACAAGTTAATTTGTTGGACCATTAGAGATAATTTATATGAGAAAAGATACAACTGGCCAATTTACAAAGAGGTCAGGTAAGGCAACAAATGATTTAGAAGAGAAAAATAACTAGGTGGTCACACAACAAAAGTATTTAGGATGCCTGTTTTCAGAGATAGCATTCCAGGCCTCTCTCCTCGGGCCTACTTGATACCAGCAGTAACGGAACAGCTATTTTAATTACAAGGAATCAGTGTAGCACATACCACTATTTGGCAGTTGGATGGCACCAGTGCTGAGCAGTGCAGAAAGTTTCCAGAGATAACATCTTCATTAGCAGGACTAGGATGTCCTACACTGACTTGCTTGTAGGTCCACTAGGCTGAAAACCAAATATTACAGATTAAACCTTCAAACATCACGAACGATTTTTTTTGCATGTTTGCTCAAGAGAAAGAAAAAATATTGAGGTATTATAAAATAACGTGGTGATGATGCAGACAGTCACCTGGCAGCCTGCTTCCCTTTCTGCCCTGCCTGTCCGAGGCAGTCATCTGTCTGACATCAGCCCCTCGCCCCCTGCTCACCTTCCCTTTCTATATGTCAGTAAAAACCTGGTACAGATAAATTAAGGTATTTCAGAGTGTATCCCTGGGTTTCATCATCTCCTCAGTTCCCAGCCATAGGACAGATTACAATTTCACAGATGTGAGGAGAGGAGATATTACAGCAAAGCAGGGGTGCCACTCCAGATAAGGTTAAGATGGCACTTCCATTATAAACACCTATTTGCAGTGGCTTATGACTTCAGGCTACAAATTTCTCTCAGGCTGAAACTGGGCATATCTGGGCTCAGCGTGGTAATGGTTTTCCCTGTCTCTTCAAACCATTTTGATGAGGTGTTTGTGGTACGAGACAGCAAACAAATCCGTGTCTCTGGTCATTTCAAAAGGCAATGAAATGCATTTCTTCCATGAAAAGCCTGCTGGACAGGATGTTCCTGTCGTGCTAACACTTGTTTTACTGTCCCTTATTTCCCCCAAAGATAATTTCCAGTGACAAAATGTGCATCATTTTTTCCCCAAAGCATCCAGGACAGCTCAGGGGTATGTTCCTGCCAGTCTGCCCTGAGGGACGTGCTGTGCCCCTGCCAGTGGCAGGAGCTGGCACTGCTCACCAGTGCCACCCAGTCCAGGTCAGTCCTTGCTGGGAGAAAAGCCTCCCTTGGCAAAACAACTTTTTTGGAACTTCAACATATTGACCAAAACTTCCATATTTTGGAAAGAGGGGGAAAAAAAGGTCATTGTATAGCACACAAATCTCAATATTTTAATGAGGCATTTATTCTAATTGTCTAATTTATTTTGAATAATATCTCATTATTAAAATCCTGCATTTTCATTCTGATCTTAAATGAAGGATGTAATGAAATCCCTAAATACAGTACTGTTTTGTCTTTTTTTTTTTCTTTCCTGTGGCCTTTTCCACTCAAAGTTTAGAATTTTTGTCAAAGATTAGAATTTTCGTCCAAGATCATAATTTTTCATCAATTCTCCAAAACAATTGTAAGTACAGAGAAATGTTTGCATGTCTCTCTATCTGCCTGGCTCTGTTCACAGTAGTATCTATTTCACCAGCTATTTAAAGCAATAAATTACTGTAATAAACTTGTTGAATGAGATAAATTTTGTGTTACTTTTCCTTTGTATTTCTCATGTATCAAGATATGCCCTGAATTATTCTACCACAAGCGATGCATAACCCTTCTATGCTTTTAATGAGTGGAGAGGATGCTTTATCTATCCAAGCATATTTTTAAAGAGTCAGATTCACAGAGGGCAGAGGACATAAGGACAAAGAAACGGGAACAAGAAGGGGAGAGGAAAAAAAAGGCATACCAACATTTGGAGGGGGAATATAAAAATGATTGGATGCCAGTTATTCTTGATAGTTTTCAATTTTTTTTTCTAATTTCCCTTTGTCAATTGAAGTTTTTGCCAGCATACCTTGTGCACACCGCAACTCTTTGGTAGCTCTGGAACATGTCTGGGATGTACATCCTGGAGGGCACTGGGCTGCAGGAAACCTGCTGTGAACACCCCTGGGCACAGACACGTGGCATTATGTTCAGTAAATCTCCCCAAAGTCTGTGGGGCACCACACTGATGTTTATTTTAGGTGGGAGACCTCCGGATGTGGCAGATATAGAGGGCACTGTGAAGCAGGTAGGAGGAGATAACGCACATGCTCTGGTCACTCCAACTTGAAACACGTGGCAGAACTGGACAGGGGCTAAAGGCAAAAGCAAGGAAAAATGGATCTGCTGCTGGTTTTGAAAAAACAAGACAGAAAAGGGGACATGATAAAAATTATAGCAATAATGTCAGAGCAAACAAATTAGGAAATTGTCAGGTGGAACATACCCAACAGAAAGCCACCCACTGGAGCAGGAAGGCGCTGATTTAGGGTGTGTGTGTGTGCACTGCTCTGCCCTGTCCACAGGAACGGCTGCACTGCCCTGGCAACACCCACACTGGCTTTAATTCCTGTGCCCGGGCACTGCCAGCCCCAGCCATGGCACAGAGCCCAGCAGGACCTGGTTTCCTCAGCTCTGGGCAGAGCAGACTGGCCGTGCTCAGCTCGGGGCTGCCTCGCTCACGGTGTGAACTCGCAGCTGGCTCGGGTTCCTCTGCACCACACTGCAGGCACCTGAGTGACTGCTGGGCAAACCCACCCAGGGCGTGCAGACAGGCAGCTTTTACATAAATTGTACACCCATGGAACCTCTACAAATATTGTTACATTAATAACACAGTGCAGGAAGGCTCCTCCCAAAATACCAGACTCATAGGCAGAAGGAACACCCGTGATTACATTACAGAGAATGAAATAATTGCAAAGGCTGTAAGGAAGAGTTATTATTATGCTTCAGGGCACAAACCTCAATTTAAAGCTCCCTATAAACTGCTGGTCCAGGTAAGATTTGCATGACAATACTATATGGTATATTTTATATTCCTATTGGATATCCTGATTAAAGGTACCTTTCCTGTTCTTGTTGTAGAAGAATATTTTCAGTATATAGAAGCCATCATTATCAACAGTGCTTAAAAGCCTGAGTCCAATCTGGTGAAAGGAATAACTTTCTAAGTCAGCACGTATATACCAGTAAAATAAAAAAATCAACCAAACAATGCAAACCTAAATGCCCAAACTCAGGAATGTTTAGCATTTAGTTTCAAATTCCACCTCGGAAAGGTGGGCACCTATCTCAAATGTAACTTTACTAGTGAATAGATTTATCTGTTATGGTTATGTCAGGTGACTGTATGGATACAAAAATATTCCTTGCAGACAGGGATGCTATTTCCTCTTTGCAAGAAGGATTGGTTGTGATTCAGCAAGACTGAAAAAATAATTTTGAGTTAGGTGTGGGCTGGTGATAATTGTTAGTGATTGAATGTCAGTGAGTGAGGGGGGGAAGAAAACCCATATAAAGCCAGATGACAGGGGAAAGTGCTGGTTACACTGACACAGTATCACTCCATCAGACTTTATAAATGAAGGGCAAATTAAATTAAGTATGGTTATTTAACAACACTCAACCAAACATTTCTTTGCTGGATAGCAAATAAGGCTTGTATTTAACCAAAGATTAGTGCATTCCAATTCTAATACCAGTGCAGTTTGTTTTTATAGGACCATCTAAACAGCACTTTATGTTGACATTTCTATTGCGTATTTAATGAAGGCCTATCAAATATGCATGGCAAATAAATACTGTGTTCCACATAAACCTTTCCTGTATATTCCCTATCTTTTCTGCTTTGTAGGACATTTGTTCTAATAAAAACACATGTCCCTGCAATGTAACTAAATCTTATTTCATCTTCTTTCCAGACACCTTCTCTGCTAGCATTGCTTAGTTCCTGATATGGAGGGAGGGGACATTTCCAACACAGTGTTCAGCTGGTCCATTTAAACAGATATTGGGAATTGTACTATGTCATGAATAAATCAACATATATGTCTATTGCAGATGTCTTCTGGAGACTTGCAAATAAGTCTAAGGATAAGAGAATAGTTGCAATTTTCATTTTAAATTATGTAATTTGATCTATCAGTTTCTTATTTGGGTGCTCTGCTTAGCTTGAACACAGAGCAGGCAATTCCTTTTTCTGTGCAAATATATGAACATAAAGACACTAATTACTACTTTGATTTTTTTTTTTAATTTACAAAGGCTTTTCAAACAATATTGCAGATTTTTTTTTAAATGAAAATACAAACACTGTATTTGTTTGGTACCTTCAAGTTCAGAAACAACAAAACCCAGATTCCTTAGCTCAGTAGATTCTGAAAAGAATACTTACTTCTGCACACCTTCACGTTCTGTTATTTCATAAAGGAGCTTTAATGCTAGTCTGCCTAGTAATTCACTATGGGATGTCTTTATACACCACTGACAGTAATATGGCTCATTTTGGGTGATTAACTTAACCCCCAGTATTGCAAGTGCCTTGCTACATTAGCATACCTTTCAAGGAATAGCTGCAATGTGAGAAAATTGCCTGTAGGATTATTTGCAACCAGGAACCTGTGAAATGTAAAATAAAATTGAAGACTATAAAGTAAAACATCAAAGATACCTAAAATATTAATAGTCAGTACTCCAAAAAGTAATTTAGAAGAATTGCATGAGGGAGCGAAAATTACTAATTTAAAAACAAATAGCCTTGGCAAAATAAAGTCAGAAGTTTAGAATAAACAATAGATAATACAAATGCATTGTATACACAATATGAAAAGAATGCAAGCAGCACTAGCAACTCTGGGAGCTGAAGGTGGCTGGGACAGAAATGCCTGACCAAGCAAGGAACCAGATCTACACAAGCAAAACAACAAAGCTGCATTATATTGAATTTCAGCTACTGGAGAGGAAGAAAACCAAATGCTCTTTAATCCATCTAGTTTTCTGTTACCGTTTAATTCTAATTGAATGCAGGCAGAATTTGTGGGCAGAAGGATTTTCTTGTTAATTGATGAATTTGGAGATGACAGCCATTGTCACGCTGCTCCAAATCATGTTTCCCCCCGCTCTCCGTGGGGCAAACCTCGCTGGAAGTTTCAGTCGGGTTTCTGTGGGAGATTCCAAGCTTCAAAGGCAGCATTGTGAAACCTGTTTCCCTTTTGATATGCACTTTTCCTTTTAATAAATTTCAGAGCAAAGAAATAAACTCAGATGAATCATAAAGGCACACAAAGTGGAAGAAAAAAGTCTTTAGTCTTGAAGGAGGCCCTGATTGTGCATGGCACATGGCAGGAGATATTTGAGAGACCTGCAGGAATTTCACAGCACATTCCAGGCTGCTCCAAGTTCCACAGAACACCTGCAAGTGAGAGCAACGGGACTGCTCTGCCCTGCCCTGCTCCTGAGTGTGATTCCAGGGATAACCCACTGCAAGCCTGGCTTGTCTTCTTCTCTTTCCTTCCTTCTTCCACAAAGGGAATCTTCCTAAAGAGCGCTGCAGTTCATTTTACTGATAAACTTGTGATCCCATCCAGCCTACAGGGTTTCTTTGGACAACCCCCTCCCTGGAATCCTGCAGAGCAGCACCAAGGGTCTGAACCAGTGTGGGCTGGGGGGATGAGACCCACCTGCAACAGCTGTTTTGACTGCAGTTACAGAAATCATCATGAAATTACAGTGCTCCTGAACTGGACTTGAAGAACAAGCTTGTTCTTCGCTGTAAAAAAAGCTTGGCTGAGCCAGACTTAATAGATCTTGCTTAACTGTTTCCCAAAATTCTTCCACAGCTGCCTGGTTTTACAGATAGTACAATGAACTATCTGAACAAAAGTGAGAACAACTGAGTGACCTTTACAGAGAAATCTTTTACAACTGCACTGTCCAAACAGACATTGTAACAAAAGAACAGAAGAATAAAAATACCCAGAGATCATACTGTGGTTAAATGGGGACTAAATTACCACTGGCTGATGCATATTAATTTCACTACTAATTTCTAAAATCAATTACTTGATGTATCCTGTGTATGCCAGATTCCTTACTCAATGACTGTGTACACCAGGATTTCCATACCAGAAGTCAGTGATGATTTTTATGAGCAATGTCTCATCTGCTATGAGATGGAAAGGAGCTGCTAAGCCAACTCTTTTTTCCCTTTTTTTTTTTTTTTTTTTTTAAGATTTACACTTAGTACCAGAACTTCAGAGGGAGAATTATGCTTCTTTCAGCTGTGAAATACTGTGCCTTGGCAGGCTCCACTCTGTGGATCCATGATCCTGAAGCTGGGGGCCACAGATGCCAGGAGCAGGCACCTGGAGGGCTTCCAGCAGCTCAGTGTTTCAGAAATGCGTCAGTGTAACGATCCTTTCACATTTCCTTTGGGAGTGGGACTTTTTGTGAGGCTGCCTGGGCTGCAATGCTCTCACCTGAGCTGGGGGCTCGACTGCTCCAAGCACTTGGCACCCACACACCCACTAAACAGAGAGGGAAAGAAAAGTGCTCTGAAAATTTAGGTCATCAGCTTTGGAAACATATGCAACACTTATACATTACTTTTTCACCAGCTGGAGTAGCTGGCACAAAAAAGGCTTAAAACTTGGAAGGATTTTGTTTTATTTGCTGAGTACTTCCATTCTATTCGGGACCATGCAACTCTGTGACTGCAAGGAATATTTGCTACTGAAGTACATGACACTTCTATAAGCATTTGTAGTCACTTGACTTTTGTGTGTGTGTTGATAACAGTACTATTTATTACAGAAGCCTAAAGTGTCTCTTTGAAAAGAAATTACCAAATATAATATTTCTCTTTGTACAAAAATATCCCGTAAAAAGATTATTTTCATGAATAGCAACGCTTTGCTTCAATTTGTGTATCTGTTTGCCATTTCTAAAGACACTTTTAGATAGATCTTATTTCTATGGGGATTTGATAAGACAACTCTGAGGAAATAATAAACAGATTCTATTTATAATGGACGTGCTAACTAGCACTCAGAAAAGGCTTTTATGTGTGAGGTCTTTTTCTTTGAATTGATCTTTACTGGGATAAAACTATTATCACAGGATCCCATTCATTCCATAAGTATGCAGAGACTTGATTTTGTCAGAACCCAGATAAAAGAAGAAAAATTCAGTGTTTCTTGGGACAGTAAGATGGCAGTACACTGACATTTCTATTAAAAAAAAAAGTTCCTGTTTCCAACATTTCGAGGATTTTGGGGAGATCTCATAACATCACCCCATCGATGTCAGACTGGTCTCTTCTCTGGTAGCATTCACACCCAACCAGTTTATCAAGGAAGGAGGACCTGACCTGCTTTTCTCATATCTCACACTGTCCCTAATAGGATTATAGGATTGCTATACTGGGACATGGTGAAAAGTTCAGGGGTGATTTGCAGAGGTACAGGAAGCCCAAGCTCCACAAACAGTTAACGTGACTGAAAGAGCACATCAGTGCTTTGCACACACAAATATTTAGATACTCACTGAGCAGAGGCTCCAGGAGTAACAGGCAAGTTTCCAGTGCCCAGTTCATGATGTTCACTAGAAAAGAACAGGACTTTTTACTGGGAAATGCAACGTGCCTGAAGAAATGAGCCAATATGACACCACACCTGGCCAGTTTGACTCCACTGGCCGTCTCAAAATTAATGTTTGTTCATTTGAAGAGCTGATCTGTCTAACCAGGTTCCTACAAAATTAAGGACTATGAAAGGTCAGTCTTACTTTCCCACTGCATGCAGAACTGTGCTTTGCAGAGACCAGTGTCACCAGTTCAGACCAACAATAAACTCCATCTGCTCCAAGCCCTGCAGCAGGACAGTTGAGGCAGTGGGGCAGAGGAATCATCCTGCACTGCAGGGTCCTTTCCCACAGCAGGCAGCTGGGAGTGACTCAAAGCTTCAAACATGAAGTCTCCAGCACCAAAGGCTCCTGCTGGAACCTTCCTGCACCACACACCTGTTTGTGTCTGACCTGGGACAGACTCAGGAAACGGTGCCAAAACAAAGGGCCCAAATATTTTCAGAACAGCCATCTCTAAAATACTACAAAGGAATTGCAGTTCAGTGGTGTAAAGAGTAAAAAAAAAAAAAGCTTAACTTTAAAAGCTCTTTTTTTACCACCACAATTTGTTAAAGAAAATAAAAAGTATAAAACACTTCACCATTATTTTAATAGATACATCACGTTCCCCAGCATCAGAATTACTAAGGTATAATTTGTTGTATTTATAACCTCTATCCTCATATGCAGTGAAAATCTTACACATTCTCTTTAAAGAGATTTCACTTGGAATACTTACCTACCTTGCTATTTTGCTCTTATTTATTATTATTACATACTTTATTCTATTCCTCCTATGAAAATAAATGGCAAAAGACTAACTCATTATACAGAATCTCATAAAACTCTCACATTTCTTGGGAAAAAATGGTTTATGCTAAGATTGGTACTGACAAGCACTTTTTAATTGCTAGTAATGTATACACAGAGAATAGGGCAGATATTATCACTGCTGCTGCTGCTGAGGCTGTGGTAATTTTCTCTGTATCAGAAGTCACTGCCATAATTTTGTTCTCTGGAGGATATGGCTTGATTAGGGCAGGCCCATTGTTTCATCTGAAATCTTAGCAGATTAATACTTTCATCAGGGCATCAATTTGTCCCACTTTTCTCTCTGCTGCTCTTTGTGAGTGACACAGCCAAAGGAATGCACCTCTTTAAACTGTCAGTCAGTTTAACTCCTCCTCTGCAATTATCCTCGCATGCATAATACATCATAACAAATTGGATTTTGCAAAGAAGCAACAACAGAAATTACATTTGCTTGTGGCATAAGATAGAAACTGTTCTAATAGGGAAGGGAGGGGGTGAGCAACGGATAAAGAAATCCAATGAATTAAAACCACTTACAGAAAACAGTTGCCTTCTATTTTCTCAAGGTTTTTTCTTCTTCTTCTTCTTTAGCATAAGGACCAATTGCGAAAGGAAAATTAAAGAAAAAAGGAAATATTAAAACAAATTAAAAAGCTTTTCAGTTATCAAAGGCTTTACTAAATTGTACACTGGTTTTGGGGTTTTTAGCAGAAATGTTTTCTTCTGGCTTTAGAGGTTAAAAATAACTGCCTTACTTCAAGGAACCCTTCTTGTTTGAACAAAAATTATTAAAGAGACACCACGAAGTGAAAAATCCTACATCACATAGGACAAATATCTTTACCAGATCTCCTGGCTGGAATAAGGAACCTGCATTTTCTTTTATGTGCCTCCCTCACACCCCAAACTCTGCCATGCTGTTCCAGGTCTCCCCAAGTCCAGCAGATTCAGGGGCTGATTATCTTCCTCTGTGCATCCATCTGCAGGTACTGGGGAAGCAGCCAACTAGAGCCAAAAACACTTCCCAGTGTGCAGGGGACTTCAAGACAGCAACCAGAGCAGTGATCTGCTCCAGATCCCTCAAAAAAAAGCAAAATATGCGTTTGGCAGAACATCAGCAAAAACTCTTCTGGTTTATAAAAGAGTTGAGATGAAACAGAGGAACGTTTCCAGTGGAACGCTGAAACCATTCTAATGTTTGAATTGTAAGATTTTTTGTCTTCAGGATATTCTTCAAAATTTAAACTGTGTTTTTCCAGGCAATTTTTATTACCTTCAATTAACTTCAATTCTGTGGCAGGAGCTCCACCTCATTTGAAAAATAAAGAAAGGGGAGCGGGGGAGGGATCAGCTGTGCTGGGACTATGTCTTTGTCTTTGGAAAAATGAAGTATGTTTGGCTCCATATTTAGAAAACAAGGTTTTGTGGGCAACATCTGAACATTTAATGCAGAAGTTCTCGATTCAAACTTCACTAACGTAGCAACATGCAGGTATGCAACAAAAATAAAATGAAAAGTCAGGAAATAAATAAGCAGAAACACAACAGCAAAAGCACAGACCCCAGGAACAGCAAACAATGGCACTTTTATGGAATCCAGAGCATTTTTTCACCCAGACTTCACAGTGACAGATATTCCCTGAAATGTTCCACTCAGCTTGAGGACAGTAGCAGTGATACAGGTGGTGACTTTACATGCTGAGGCTGTATCTAGAAATAAGGGGTACTAGTGATAAAGTGACACGAGGTGTGAGTTTAGACAATGAACATTTCAAAATACTCACGTCAGGAATATGCAGCATATCTGTATAGATAAGGGGTTTATTATTATCTCCTCTACACCTGTATCCTATTAACTTTTATCTTAATGATGGATGATAACTCCAGGACCATGGAAGCACCTCACAACATGGAAGCATTACACTCCAAATTATGTGGAGAGCAGAAATTAGCAGCAAGCTGACAATTTCTAGACTGATCTTAAAATAACCAGGTACTTTCTTTCCTATAATTAAGCCAAGAACTTCCTCCTCAATTAGACTGGCAGAAATTCCTTCTCAATGCCACTGGCAGGTGGGTCTATAGTTATTTCCAATAGTGTTAGTGTTTGTCACAGAGACAGAAGTGAGTCAGAAGTGGGAGGCAGGAGAGCCTCATGTGAGCACGTTGGGCTGCCAGTTATTGAGGTTGTGTTGGCAGCTGCTCCCTGAGACACAGCCCAGCCAAAGCTGAGAAAAGCCCTGTCTTTGTAGCACACACTGTGTTCATCTACTCTTCTTATTAGGGTAAGACACTTGGTGGCTTACAAAATCATTATTATATTAGTGGCCACTTTCAAGTGCCCTTCAGCTGCTCTTTTCCCACTGCAGAAACAAACCCCTGGGATTTCACTGGGGGTAAAAAAATATCTGTGGAGAATGATGAAAGAACAGACTCTAAACACATTTCTGTATTTAGTGTCTTCCTGTCACAACTCTTTGTTGCAGTAAAACTGCATTTGCTATCATAATCTTTGGCTTGCACATTTCTTTTAATACTAATTATATGACTGTATTGTTACTCAGATAATTGTGGGAGTTGTCAATTAAATTCTCATTTGTGTTCAAGCATGAGTCTGTTCCCAGTACCTTATGCACATGCACACAAGTCTGCCTCTTGTAAACTGCAGTTTGCTTGATATATGCAGGTTTTACAGTTTATCAGATATTGTTATGCTGAAAACTTCCATTCTCTTCATTTTTTTCTCTACAATACAGTTCTGCATAAGAAGGTACTCTATATTCATTTTTCAGACCATATTTTAAAGTTCATTTTTTAAACTTTAAAAATAATAATGAAAAACTCCCAATGGATTATGTCCAAAGATCACAATCAGGTCTGTATCAGGGTGAGATTGTTTTAATCATTTTTCCCTTCTATTGAAGTTAGCACATTTCATGGCACTAGTCCTTCTTAACAATAAGAAATTCATTTCTAAGAGTAGGACAAGCAGAATACTTCCATGTTAACAAGTAGTGCTGTCCACTACATAATAGGGAATTCCCACAGAAAAAAAAAATATCCTGAGACTGATCTGGCTTTTTATGATTTTCATGCTAATCAGTGTGCAAAAAATACAGCATCACAGGTAATGATACCAGTTAAAACAATATTTGTTAGCTTTTTGACATTCCTTTGCATTAAATGTGAACCCAAACAGTACAATATTATGTAGTACAGAAAATAAAAGCATTGGTCCTTTCTCTTTGTCTAAATCGAACAGGAAGTTGACAGCAGCAACAGGTGATGAAAAATAAATTGCATTTAGAAAACTCCATCAATTTAATAGTTTAGGGTATAATTAACAATACAGGAAAATTGATTAATTCTTTTTATGAGTTTTACCCTACTGTGTCCTTCTAAACACACAGAGGATCTGCCACTGAAATCAAAGCAAATTCAGCAGTTTGCCTCAATGACTTCTAAGACTTGCACATCAGATTTTATAGAATAAAGCACACACTGATCTGGAGTAGTGGATACACAGGTTTTGCTTGAAACTTAAAGGCTGGAAAGAAAGGACACACTGGCTTGGCAGCCCAATTCCCATGTTACATTATCCTGCCCAGAGTTTAAGTGCCCTCAGACTGCAAAAAATGCTCTGTTTTCTCGTACAATACAGCATATGACACAGATATTTATTGGTCTCTGCAGCTGAGGAAAAGTTAGTCTGAGAGTATGGGAGGTCCAGTAACTTCCTTAACTTTTAAATACTTAATAAACCTTCTCGACGAAGCTGGAAATCTTGTAAGAACAGGCTTTTAGAAAATACCCAGTACTGGCTATGTCTGTCTAGATGAGATGCACCAAGACAGCAGATTATATCATTAGATCCACAGTTGGTTCACATTTCTGTAACTTACAGGACACCCTTGGAATTCTGCAATACAAGATGCTGTTCTTCAGAAATTATTGGTTATGGCAAAGATTTGTTCTGAAACAGAGAACTCAGTAATGCCAAGGACCTGAGCCACACTCAGCACCTTGTTACACCTGCTGAGTGTCACATCCACTGAAAGGATCCCAAATCCCACGGGCTGCTCTGCCCTGAGCTGCCCGACAACAGAGTGTCTTCAGTCCTGGCATTTCTCACATTCTACACTCCCTGCACCACAACACTTCTGAATTCAGCATTTATCCTTCCTACCTTAAGAAAAGCAGAGAAAACTTGCAACCATAGGCCTTTCCTGACTGAAGTAACCAATGCACCATTACAACCAGAGCTACCACCCCAGTCTGGCTCTGCAGAATGCAAACAGTGCAGCAGCCACAGGGCTGGGGAGCCAAAAACCCTGCTGCAAACCTGGGGATGGCACAGCTCTGGGTGCAGGGTTAAAGGACAGAAGCCCCTTTGATTTCTGGTATGAAAGTTCATGCCAGTCTGCAACATAAACTGAGACTAACCTCTTCCTTCATCAATATGCCATTATTTCCCAGATGTCACTGATAAGACCACCCTGAATATCCAATTCAATTCAACTTGAGTCTAATGATAATCAAAATAGATTTCAAAAGGCTCAAAGATGAGATGGACAAAATTTAACTGTAAAGGCATTAAAGGATTGCTAATATTCTAGGCCTGAAACAACCTTTAGTAGGACTAGACCATGACACTGAAAATGCTCAGAAACAGAAATGGATCCTTAACTGTAAATAGGTGGAACACATTCACCCTTATTGTACAAATGCATTCAACAACATTTTCTAAGAAGATATCTTGGTATATCTTTTGAAAGAGGTGACAAGAGTAAGTGGATTTAAATCCTTCTCAAACAGTAATGATGAGCTGTTTTGCTTCATTCATTCGTGGCATCCCTCACAAATCTTTTCTCTTCAGTTATTTTCTATATTACTCTCCATCACCAAGGTGCATTTGTCAGATCATCTAGAGTTATATGTCACTAAAACAATGATGATATTCAGCTCTTCCTATGTTTTGCCACAACTTCAGTATACAAAGTACTTAGATAAGATCAGTTAATTTATAAAAACACCTGGTTGCATTTGAATCTAAAAAGACAGAGCACTGAGGGACAGAGAAAGGCATTTCAAAGAATATGAAGGAAGGTGCATTTTTCTTTGATTGAAAATGCCTGTCCCAAAATAGCCAGTTCAATCCATAGCTGGAGGGGATCTGGATTCCTGGATGCAGCTCAGTTACACAGCACCATCCACGAGCAGCAGTTTCTCACTGATTGCTACCAGGCTCCATCCCAGCTTGGCAGATGAAGCCCAGCCTTTGGTTATTTACATGTGTCACCTCTCAGTTGGATTAGAGCCATGGAGTTCCTGGGCATGAAGCCATCACACCTTAGGAAACTCCAATTAGTACAACATGCTGTAATACATGAGCTGCCCTGAGCAAATCCATCCTCTCTTTCAGTGACTTCTTACTGACTCCTAAAGCAAGGCAAATTCTCAGTTACCACTTTCAAGACAAACAATAGCCTGGGGCTAAAGTTTTTAGAAGACTACATAAAATATTGGGATCCACCATCTTAAAATGCAACTTCACTCTTTCCATAACATAATGCTCAGAAAGAGAGTTATAACTTGTCTACCCAGAAGACAGAACATCCCCAATGATAGATGACAGAAATTAATTCAATGTGTATTTCTATGATCATAAAATCTTTATGAAATATGTATTGTCATTAAAAAATGAAAGAGAGGGGAGAAGGAGAAGGAGAAGGAGAAGGAGAAGGAGAAGGAGAAGGAGAAGGAGAAGGAGAAGGAGAAGGAGGAGAAGGATCTACATCGACAATAATACTGTCAAAATCACAGCCTCCACTACACATGCTTTTTTGCCCTTAGGGAGAATATTTTGAGAATAAAAAAGAAAATGCAATAAGGAAATAAAATAATAAATATTAAACAGATGTTTCCTAATAATCTATGAAAGGCACTCGCAGAAGATTAATGAGTGCAGCACAAAGCCTACACAGAGCTGAGAGCATGGACTACCTGACCATGCAGTCATGTTTCCAGTCATTTAGCTCTTTCTTTTCCTGCACATGTCAAATCCATGGGTTGAAAGGGACATTATCTCTTTGAAGAGCATATTCCTCACAGAAGTGAAGGTGTCAGAAGCTTCATTACCATCTATTGAGTGTTTGCTATCACCTTCTGAGGAGAGCCAGCTCTTTCCAGTGGACAAATGTCCATCTCAAAACCCACACCAGTGCTGCAAATCCCAGAGCACAGGCCATGGGACACTGGCACCTCCCTTTTCTCTGTTGGTGCTTTTCCCTCTCGGTGCAGTGAGAGGGTCAGTGCTGGTGCTGGAGCAGAGGCCAGCAGGTCACTGCCTGTGCCACCTGATCCTGTGCCCAGCCCAGGGCTGCTGCCTCCAGGGCACCACCCAGCACCTTCCTGCAGCACTGAGTGATGCCAGCTCTGCCAGTGATGAGTGTTCTGTTTGCCCCACTGAAATCGTGGGTCCTGTTGTGCATGTCCATAAATTAAGCAGCTGTTATTTTTTTTTCCAATTAAACACAGCCCTTGCAGTGCATAATAGGTCATTCCGAAGTGTGTCTAATCTGTCTATCCTCACTAAACAAAAGACTAGATTCAGGCTTACAAACAAGGAGTCAGTTGTAGCACGTTCATTAAAAAAAAAAAAAAAAAAAGCTGTGGAGTGGAGTTCTTCAAGGATTAACATTGGGAAAATCTCCAGACCAATAAAACAAAAAAGAACAAGTGTTTCCACACTCCAAAATTGATGGCAAAACTCCCCTTCTGCTATTTCAGAGGATAAGGACAGCTTATGTGTAATTAAAAATAACCATGTATTTGTACTTGCTAAACTGACCTCCAGACACCATAGGCTTTTTCAATAGAGGCCATACAGAATGTTTTGTTAATTTGTCATCTTAGTATTCAGCTGGTCTGCCGATTCCTGTGGACAGGTGAAGCTTGTGTCAGAGGTCATTAATCAGATATCCTCCCCCTCCTGTCCAACAAAGCATGGCCATTGATCAGTGATCCTTAAAGCTTTTTGAAGTCACTCAACAGCAAGAGTTCAACTTTTCTGAGCAACTGAGAAGCTGAATTTCCTTACAAACAAACCATTCTCCTGCCACTGAATTAAATAACTAGAAAGGAAACACTGGAATTCCACGTTGTGTGCAGAGTAACCTGCCCTTTGAACATATTTAGTTCTTCCCTCTGCTCCATTCCCCTACTCCTGTGCTGATGAAAGAGCACATCTAACCTTTATAACCTTGACACTTGCCTGCAGTAATAATCTTTTCTTCTCCATATGAAAAGTGATTTTCTGGGGGCTCTTATTCAATAATTTGTGATCAGTGATATGTCAGAGCAAAAAGCTCAACAGACAAGGACAAAAGCAAGACATGTCAGCAAGAACAATCCCTCTGAACTGTGTCCTCCAGCCCAGCTGAGCTGGGCTTACTGAAAGACTTAAGTAGGAAATGAAGACAGAGTTGAGAATAGAACAGAGCAGAAAATAGGCTTGGGTTGCAAACTTTAATCTCATCCTAGGGAGACAGTCACTCAAAGCTGGAAAGCTCCACTGCACCTCTGTATCACACACTGCCAGTGTTAGAGGGTGACAAAACAGTTATAGGACAAGGAACATTTCTAGCCTTCCTCTCTCCTTTTGCAGTCAAGCTGAACTGATGGAACTTACCCAGTATTTGTATTATTTAATATCCTGTTTGGTTTGGAAACCATTCATGCCGTTGCTATGTAATGACCAGCTCTCCAGGGCACTGCCTGCTCTCTTTTTTGCAGGTTTGGAGTAGGTTTGGAGTGGATAAGAGCTCTTGAGGCCACAGCAATTCAGGCAGGAGACAGCAAAAAGCACGAGGAAGACTGGACAGGTCTCAGATTTCATACATGGTCTTGGTGTAGTTATTCTTAATGGATGAACTCCCACTCACGGGATTTCATGTCTCCCTTGGAGTATCTGGTTTATTAAAAACAACACAGAGTTGCCACTAACTGAAAACAAGCTGGAAAGAAAGGGATAAAATCATTCTCTAAAATTCAAAAAGCCAGTTTGGTGGCTTCACAGAAGTTTTCTATTTTTGTTGGTTTTACAGATATAAAGCTTTTAATCTGCCAGAAAACTCTGTCTCCTGCTGTGTAGAAATGGGACTTCTAAAACAGAAAGGAGAGGGGAAAAAGGAAAGGGGAAAGAGGAAAGGGAAAGAGGAAAGATATTTTCTTAAGAGATATTTCAGTGAAACTGTGGGTAGTTCTAGATTTGGTGACACTTGCATCTAGGAGAATAAATCAATGCTGATAAAGCTGTAGATTGTTAGATGACATCGTTTCTTAGGTGAAAATATTAAACTGTGTCTCCTGGTATTATCATCTTCTTACTGACTTTGGGATAATAGAAAAAAGAGTGAAGAAAGGATTTTGATCAGAACAAATAGAGGACAAAGACAAGTGAGTTAAAGTCTTCTACATGAATCTCTTCTTCCTCAAATCCTCACTGTCTGCTTAGACTGCAAGGATGTCAAATGGGGATAGCTTCCTGCTGGAGCTGCTTCAGGGCCCTGGTAGGTCTGGGCACCACACCAACAGCCACTTACTCTCGCCACTCATCCTCTTCCACTCTGATAATCACAGCAGCAGTTGATTATTGGGTTGTAAAATAAAGGGATTTAGTGCTGACTGCAGCACTGAGTGCCTCAGCAAACTCCTCACCGTAGATCATTTTCATAAAATTTGTCAGGGGTCTGGGCTGAATTGTATTTTCACATAGTTAATCCTCTGTCTGTGCAGCAATCTGTGCTGCCTGCACTGCAGACATGCCTGTGCCAACCCCTCTGTGCTCCTGCACATCCCTCGGGTGCCAGCGGCCCAGCCACCCACCCAGCGGGGCCTGACTGACCCTGCAGGACACGGGGTGACACAGAGAACAGGACACACAGGGGGACAAGGAGACAATCCTGGAGGTAATATGGGATTACTGCTGACAGACTTGCCCAAAGTACACCCTGCAATGGGTAGGAACAGTCTGTGGGAAGGAATAAGAGATATCTCCAACCTCAGACCCCGAACTTTGGCCGAGTTCACAGCAAAGTTCACCAGGAGCCAAGCTTAGCAGCTTATGATGAGTTAATAAAATAGAGAATGAACTTAACCAGTAGTAGTGAAGCAAGGTCTAAGAGAAAATGGAGTATTAAAAAACGAGCTACCTGCTTGACCATAATACCAGAGAGAAAGAGCTGGAATTTTCCCCATCCATTTTCTGATCCATTTCAGTTCATTTGGTTCATTCTGTTCTCCTTTCTTTGTTTTTAATTGTGGGTGGTGAAAATCTTGCCACCTTTGATCCCACTTGTGACCATATTAAAGGTATTTAATCCCTGCAATTAAAAAAAACAAACGTGTTTTTTTGGTTCTTCCTCCAAAGCCTCACTATTTACATCGTTGAACAAGACCACAAATATCTGCCTAGAAATAAGGACAAAACAAGAGAAAGATAGCACAGGACTGCATTGTGTTTCATCTTGACAAACAACAATGCTCTTCTTAGGTCATGTTTCCATTCTGAAAATTAACTGCAGTGGAAAACAATGCAAGTCTTTTGTAAAGGAAACAAAGATTATATTATTCAAGGAGGAAAGGAAGTGGCACGAAAATAACTCGGGAGGAGACAAGAAACAAAATGTCAAGAACTTCAATATTTATTTTTGGAAGCTCCAGAATTTAGCTTTTAATTAATATCTAGCAACTTGCCTCTAACAAACAATGCTTTCTTCCATACTTCCCTTCAAACACAGGCTATTTCCACTATGCTTGCATTTCCCTAAGTAGTTTTAACAGATAGTTTGCCTTAGTAAGAGGATGGATTTGTGGCCAAAGAAAAAAAAGGAAAAAAAAATAGAAAAAAAGAAAAGAGCTTGCTGTGCAGCTGAACTGAGAAACAGAACTTTGTTCGCTCTCACTAATGGATCAGCTGACAGTCAGAAATAGAGGTGTCCTTGTGTCTGACTGAAGCCACTTAGTTGGCAGAATTCAGTGACGTTTCCAGGTGAATTCAACTCTAGTTAATTGAAGTCTCTTATTTGCAAAAGAACATAAAAATCTGTTAGGTTTCTTGGCTCAGAAGCTGAGAGAACTGTATGAATACAAACATGGTTCAAAAGGTATGAGAAATGTGTAAATACAGACCTTGAACACGGACTACTTTTACTTCTGTAACAACATTAAGATGCCTGATGACCCAAATTCACCAGCAGTGCAGCATATAGTCTTTTATACAGTAACATGGCCAGGTCTGGCTATTATTCCTGACACTTTTTTCTTTAAGTACATTTTAAATAGCCTCCATAAACTGAGAAGTAATACTGGTTGTTGCAAGCTTTTGTCAAGTGATATTGCAAAGGTACATTAAAATCATTTCTTTCCTGTGTTCACATCATTGCCTTAAGTTCACAGGAAATAGCTGCTGAAGAAGACACCTTCATGCTTACATTTATTCATTTTGCTTGAGTTTAAAAAAAGGTCTCTTAGTAGACTTTTTGCACTGAAAATTATTACTTTGTCCCTAATGATCTACTTTACCATATTTCTAATATTTTGCTACATACTTGCAAGCCCATTCTCATTTCTGAACTACAGGGTTATTACTTGTGATAAAAATAAGATTATAATTTCACTTAAAACGAAGTGCATGTGAAGTAATTCTGGGGTGCTACTCCAAACTTAAAGCATAACTACACTCGGGCTCCAGTGCTCAGTTTTTACCTCTCAAGGTTGTAACTAAGCACCTGAGAAGTGCACAGAGCAGAGCAGAAAAGAACAAGAAAAAAAGATCCCTGTTTCTCATTTTCTTAAGTTCAGAGTGTTTTGGTATGGCAGTGTTGTACTGACAAAATACTGCAAGGAATAAAATCTTTATAAGCACTTCCTATTTAAAATTCAGTATTCTCTTTTTCTTCAGATGGCAGCTACTGAGAAAAACCCACCCCTCCATATTGCAATGGTGAGTGGTGAACAATGGCTATCCCCCCAGGCTTTGTCTGTGTAATGCAGCAGCAGCCTGGGTTCAAACAGCCCTGAACATGTAACACACACGTGTGACACACACACAGCCTGTGTTCAAACATCCCTGAACATGTGACACACTCACTGCATGACCAGTGCCTGCCATGGCTGTGCTGTCCTGGGGCCAAAGCCTCTGAACTGCTGCCCCAACCCACCAGGTATGGGTTTGGAAGATAAGGACTGAAACACAGCAGCAATGGAGGAAAGTAAAGATACTGTTACCCCAGGAATTCATTACTGAGTTATTCACTTGCATCCCTTCCACAAACACTAAAAATTCCTTTAAAATACACAGAAGCCACAAGAACAAAAAGGTGACGGTTTTCGCTCCCGAGGTCAGGCAGGCTGAAGGCTGAAGCCTCGCCACCCCTGGCAGCAGGCTCCCCCTCCACCTGCAGATCTGCAATTCCAAGGTAGGTTTAGTTCCCTGGTGGCAGACTAGGGCAGAAACCTCTGTTTTGGGCAGCACAACTAAAAGCATGCAGCAATGACAAACATGGGACATCTGCTGTCCCTGGTGGGCAGGTGGCACCTCTGCCACCAGACCCACTGTGCAGGGAGGTTTGTTGTTGCTGGCGACCCAAGAGGTTGTGCAGTCTCCTTCCTGGGAGGGTTCCATGGACCAGCACAACAAAGCCCTGAGCATCCTTGCCTGACCTCCAGCTGGCCCAGCTTTGAGCTTGCAGATGGATTAGAGACCTCATGATGTCCCTTCTAACCTGAATTATTCTGTGATTCCATCAGGCCAGAACATATCACTCAAATTACAGGCAAACTGTGCAATTGCATCTTCCCTCAGTTACAGCAGCATTAGATCAGGTGAGAAAAAAGGGACTAAATTTATGCCAGCCAGCAAGGGTAACTAGCTGGCAACAGAAACTTGTACAAAAGAGAAGGAGATGTAGAGCAATTCCTTCTCAAAGTACTTCAGTACAATATGTTTGCCTTGTAGCTTCGGGCCAGGGCAGTTCAGGTGCTGCAAGAGATTTTAAGCTTTAAAATACAGCTGGCATACACATCAGCAACAAAATTCACCCTAGCTTCAGTAAAAATCCCCTTACACTAATAAAGCCAGAATGAAAAGCAAGAGCAGCTCTTACAACTGTGGCAGTACCTTGCAACTGTGATGCACAAAACCAGAGGCAGAGCCAGCAGCAAACACTGAGCAGTTCTGCAGCCCTCCAGCTGTTATCCCTCACTCTGTACATCCAGCTTAACTTAACATATCCTCATCTCATCTATCCCCATTCACAAAACCCCTGGTTTACCCAAATGTTCTGCCTCTGAGAATCACTTCAAGGAAGGAGTGTGGAAACTGCTCCAAGACTTTCTAGTCTCAGCTTTGAACCTTGCTCTGGGCCCTCAGCCAGGCAGCCAACAGTGCCAGTGTGCTCTGGGGAAAAAAAAAACCCAAACACCAGGAAGAGCGTGGGGCTGGCACAGGCAGGGCAGCACAGTGTCCCTGCCCCTGCACCCTCAGGGCTGGCACAGCCAGAGCAGCACAGTGTCCCTGCCCCTGCACCCTCAGGGCCAGGCTGTGCCCACAGTGAGCTCTGCTGGACGAGCAGGCTCTCGAATGCCAGGTAAAAGGAGCAGCAAACCCAGGTAGTTGCAGGCACGTGGTGCCAGTGTGAGCCCATGGCTCTGGATTCCCACCTGCCCTTTTTCTAACCTGCCATTAAGTGCCAGGAGGGTCTAAAACCCATCCAAATGGGAGAGGTGGGATTTAAATGCCCTTTTCCCTTTGCTCTGCACTGGCACAAAGAAGCTGTGTTATGTATCAATGATTTAAGTGACCTCCTTTTGGGGATGAACCCACTCGATGTCCCTCTGCCTTCCTGAAATCCGTGTGCTCAGAGCTGCATCCTGGCCCAGTTTCCCCACTGGTGACTAAACAACATTTTAAACAAACTACTTCGATGGTCAGACTGTTAAACAGGCAGAGTAAACAACATTCACTCATTTTTGCTAGGACACTGCTTTCCTTTCCCATGGAAAGACACTGCAAGCTAATTGTAGGGAACACTTTATAACAGGAGTGCCCCCAAAGAAGATAACTGTGCTCATATCTTCTAAAAACTACTAATATAGAGTTCTGTCCATAGATAAATATTTATGACAAAACAGCTGGTTTTAGTTGAAGATGTTTAACTTATAAGATCTCAATTTTATAATCAAGGCTAACAAGTCCCATGAGCAGAGACTGGAATGTAAACACCCATTTTGTTGATTCTGACTGAAGAATGCTCCACTACAAATTTCCAAATAAGAAGAAGGAGGGGGGGAAAAAGAGTAAGTGATATGATGAGAAAAAGCACCAGTAATTTATTTATGTTGTTCAACCATTAGTATAATTAATGAAACATCAATAATCTTTATTTACAGTTTATATAAATTTTGCCAGTTGTGGCCATGAGGATGATGATTCCTTCTTTGGTAAAGGTCATTAGCATCACATGCTTTCATTATAGCACCTGACCCTACTAAAATTGCACTTAAATTTAATATGTGACAAATTTAGGCTTTTCCAAGATCGGACCAGATTTCGTATAATAGATGTTTATCTAGTTAGGCACCTATTTATTGATCTAACGTGTATGTTTACACAGAATACACAAATGTTATACAAAAAGTATATGGTAGCAGATGCTTTAAACAGATTAAATGTTATTTTTATACATCTCTGAAGTCTGTGCCTCATATTAATAAAATGGATTGTCAGAATTTTCCATTGTTCCACTTCAAAGCATGCAATTATATTACCTTAATTGGAAGCACTGATGTGTTTTTACCAAGGATGTTTATTTGTATTCTGACTACTGAGATATAAATATGGGACCATTTGCTACATTTAGTTTTCTAATAGTTTTCTACTTAGATGATTTTTGTTCTCTGCATTTTATCCTGACAAACTACTGTAGTGAGTACATGTCCAAGGGAGGAACTATGAATTTAAGCTAATATAATCTAAAAACCTTTTCTTATTGAGATCTAGATTGATTCTGTATAGTCAAGAACCTGTTAACTACAGAGTATATCAGTGAGAAGCAACAGAACTTTTTGACTTGTGCATTGCAGCAGAATCCAAGCAGTTAGGAATTTATACACTGAAGCATTGGCATCCACTAATCCAAAAGCATAGTTTGTGTTATTTGTTATCAGAACAGTCAACATGGATATCCAGAACTTTTTATATCTTCAGCACTAGTGAAAATATGATGTATCTGAGATGTTCTGAACTGTTGGGGTGACAATGTAACACTGTCAGGAGTTTTCACATAGACAACATTTACCAAATCACACTAACCCT